ATCTATAGGTAAAAATTCTGTCGTTCTGTCTACTATATGATAGAAGAGCTATAAGATACGGTTTGATAGCCAATATTTTCAATCACTAAGTAATAAGTCGATTTTTTTCATTCTGTTGACGATGCAACGAACATGAGTATATGTGTTGTTGCTAATTACCTAATGATAATGTCATTTTTTAACACAAATTAATGATATGAATATAAATAATGTTAAGCTTTTTTTTCTGTGTCACAAGGAAAGGAGAACACAAATGTCACTTCTGGGAAAACACAAAACGAATCTTACACAGATAGATATAAGTTAGTTCCGCAATAAACATGAAAAGCGTTCGCAATAACTAATATTTATTTTGAAAAAAGGTCAAAAATATTTCATAAGATGGAATTATCTAAACAAACGGTTCTATGCACGTTTTAATTGTTTGTTCAAAGTTGACATTTTCAATTTGTATTCCAATGTGAGGTAGTTTATTTGTACTTAATTGAGCATTATCTGGTCGTTGAACATTCGACGAGCTATTTGTATCACGTTCGATATGATCAATGTTAAAATGGAATATATTCGCAATTAATTGCGTCATTTTATATTTTGTCATTTCTTGTGAGCCAGAAAAATGAAATATACCATGAATATTTGATTTATTCTAGACAAAGAAAACGACAACAGACAGTTTTTATTCTTTCAAACATACATTGTAATATACTTACATCTTTCAAACGTTTCGTACATAACTGTAAACAAACACTAGCCACGTCTCCTATATATGTGGGAAAACGTTTTTGACAATCGTCCATTTTTACTTTTGTTTGATGATCTTTGATAAACTTAAACAATATGGTTACGGCGTTTTCATCTAGACTTTCTACTTCTCCGTATAATAGCGGGACGCGAAGAATTACATGTTCTAAGAAATTAAACAAAATATGTTAAAATTAAATTCAAATGTTGTTATTTTTATAATTTACCAGTTGAAGTTCCAATAACAACCATTTCCGCTTGATATTTACTCGATCCGTACGCATTTATGGGATTTGGCTGAGAGTCTTCTTGATAGGGAGGATGTTTGCCGTCAAATACATAGTCAGTACTAATCAAAATAAAAAATATTTTTAGAGTGGCTAAAAATGAGAAAACAATAGCATGAGTAAGAAAAGTTATAACATTAAAAACATCTTGAACTTACCACATAATTCTGCTAAATTTTTTGTCACATCAATATTTAACAGATTTGATTTATTTGCATTTTTCTCAAATTCATCTGGTTTTCGTTCAGCTGCACAATGTATTAGTGCATGGGGCTTCGAAAACAATCAACAAAAATTTGTCTTTTTAGATTGTTAAACGAAAGACGACTTACTTTCAAATCTTTGATCAATGCGTTTATTTCATCAAAATTTGTCAGATCACATTTAATCAAATTATTTTTAGCACGACTATAAGCTAAACCTAGAATAAAAATGTGATATAATACAAGCAAATTTTAATTTTTTTAGAGACAGATGTACCTGTCACTTTCCAATTAGTATCTTGAAACGTTTTAAGCATTGAACGACCTAGAACGCCCGATGCACCCGTAATAACTACATGAAACGTTTTCTCATGAGACATCTTCAACAAATGACATACACTGATGCTCACACCATTTTTGAAAGTGTCATCTATCAGCTCAAATATCTCGGCATACTTTATTTTAAGTTCAAAATAGAATTTTTCTAACTTTGTTATAAAAAGAATTGTAAAATAAGTTACAGTCAAATCATAAGTCACACATATCGGATCGAAAAAAAACGAATTTAATATCACACACAAGCAACAATAATTCAAGATTCGTTGTCTACTTTCATAGAATCTTGAGTCAATAAAGGGATTTGTTGTTGACTTAGAGTATCAGAATTAACGCCATTAACAGTAATTGCCTAAAATGTAACAGAGCAAATATGAGAATAGAAAATTTAATACTAACATGTTATTGATTTACGGGAATAGAAGGTTGTGTTTGTTGATTGTTGATTACCATTGGTTGTTGAGGATGTAACGTTAGATTGTTTAGATTTCCTGTCGAAGATGGACGAGAAAGCAACATATTTGGTTTAAATACTTGAATATAATTTGCAGGTATAAGACCACATGAAACGCGATCCACTGTGGCGAGCAACCAATTTGATGTAGTCGATTGAAACGCTACAAAAAATTGTTAATGATCTCAGATGCTTCTGTACAGTGAGATTCAGATTCAAACTTACCATATGGCGCTAACGACAGATATGTTCCTTGCTTAAATGATAATTCGTCAGCATTTCGAGCAGTATAATCATATAATGCAACAGCACGCACAAGACTTTTCTCGTTTTGCATCCAGTTGATATTGCCTAAAAGATAAAGTAAACATTTATTACGTACATAAAAAAGATCTTTGTTTCTACCTTGTCGTCTTTTAATAATTGAATTTAAGAAATGTAACATTAGCATTGGAGTACCAAATGTAACAAAAAAAAACAGAGCTACTAGTAAACCAGAGGATGATTTTGTCGTGTTTGTTGGGTCTGCAGTTTGATTTGCATTTTTTAATGTATCATATATTTTTGACCAAGATTCATTCATATCCGGAGATGTTGCTGATGTCGATCTTAATCTAAGTAGTCTTAATATTCGATTTAAGAGAAATTTGATAAAACGCCATAGAATAATTAATGGATAGATTGTTGTCAGTTGTGAACGTAAACGAGTAAAATGATCAAATACATCGGTAACAGCACGAAATGAACTATAAACACTTGTAAATGTTGATTCTAACATTAGGCTAATTGAACGAAATGTCTGGACAACACTGTCCATGGATTGAAAAGCATTACGCGATTCTTCAACAGCTAATTGAGCAAAATTACTTGTCGGTAATGATCTTGGAGATCCAAAATAAGAACCCGCTCCACCATAGCCCGCTCCACCATAGCCCGCTCCACCATAATAGGGATTAGCGGCATAGCCACCCATATGTGGTGCATAACCATATCCACCGCCGAATATTCCACCGGGTACTTGAACGTTTTGTGGTTGTATGCGAGGAGGAGGTTGTGGCACAGTTCGTTGCATGTTTTGTTGATAGGCTGACCTGAGATGAAGTTTTAGTTACACGACTATTGTAACAAAGAAGAGAATACGTACTGTGATAAGTTTGGTTCCACTGTTGGATAACCTGTATTCAGAGATCCAAATGAAGTGGAAATAGGTTGACTTGCCATTGGCATAGGTGTTTCCCAGGGCTTATTTCGAGCCATTTTTCTTTGAATCTGAAAGTGTTTCTGATGAGATTTTGAAGCAGCGTATGTATGTAGAGTGTGCTTTCTCAAGCACGTAGACATGCATACCTTCTTCTTTTTACATCAAAAAAAGCTTTGTTCATATCCAGTTTTCTTTAAACACTAGTGCAGCATAAATGCACGAAGAACCCCTTCATTAGAATCCGCTACGACCCCGATGAAAACATTTTTTCCCCTTCGTTACTTTTCAGAAGTGACGCTTCGTGTTTCTCCTCTCCTAAGACTAAGGCTAAGACTAAGACTGTTTTATTCACGAAAAGTGCGAGTCATCAAAGGTCACCGACCTGTAAAAGCAATGACTCAAGCCAAGCAACATCAAAAGAGTAAAACAAGAACAGAACAAACAAGACAACTAACGTTAGGACCAGAAGTAGTAAAAAGAAAAAAAAAGAAAGTAAAAAAGTTTTTTTAAAAAAGAAATAAGAAAAAAGAATAAATATAAATTCATAACTGACATGTTTCACTGGAAGAGATACTGAAGTAAAGCTGTTTTGAAAGACGTTAAAGAAGAAAGACAAATAACTGACTCTGGGAGATTATTCCAATCAGCAATAGTTGAATAAAAAAAGGAAGCATGCACCGTTTGCGGAGAAAAACCATCAACAGAAGATGGAATGCGAACGTATTTAGAGTGATGAAGACGTAAAGATGAATAGTGAGGACGATGAATAGTATAAAAAAGAGAAACAGGACTTAGACGATGATAAATTTTGAAAAACTGTAGAAGTCTAAAGTATTTACGACGAAGAGAAAGTTTAGGAAGAGAAAGTTGAGATACAAGTAGGGAACTAGAAGAATGATAGTCAAAATTGCGAGAAATAATACGAGAAGCAAGTTTGTTTACAGAATCAAGAACAGTAAGAGAAAACGAACTATCATACAAGGCACAACAATAGTAAATTTTAGAAGAATAGAAGAAAGATAGATTCGACGCCGAACTTCAGTTGGAGCTAATCCAAAGACACGATTCAATGCTCCAAGCTTGCGCCGACAAGCAAAAGCAATGTCCTTGGCATGATCATTCCACCTAAGATCCTGCGAAACAAGAACACCAAGACAACGAACAGAAGACACAACAGAGAGAGGAACACCATTGAGATACAATTGATTATAAACATACGGAAAGAGATGGAAAGAAAAAGGAAGCCAACAACATTTAGAAACATTTAGAGACATGAGATTGGAAGAACATCAATGAGAAACAGAGTTTATACAGTTTTGAACATGAGAAAAATTAGAAGAATCAGTAGGGGAGAGAGGAACAATCAAAAAAACATTCAACAAACAACGGTTCGAAAGGTAAGAAGATAGAAGAGACAACAAAGAATCACGCACACCACAACGAGATAATTTTTCTAACAAGAGAAAATGAGGAACAGAGTCAAATGCTTTAGAAAAATCAAAAGACACACCAACACACTTTACACCAGCATTCCAAAATTTAAAGACGGTTGAAGATAAAAACAACAAAGCATCCAGAGTAGAATGTTTAGGACGAAAACCGAACTGTTTGTTTACAAAAAAAGAGTGTTTCGAAAGATGAGAAAAAATAAAATTATAAGTTAGACGTTCAAACACTTTAGAAACAACAGGAAGAAGTGAAATAGGGCGATAGTTAGAAATATCGGCAAGAGCGCCTTTTTTATGAACAGGTACAATGAATGCAGTTTTCCATAAAGTTGGAAAATTGCTAGTAGAAAGACACAGATGAAAAATGAAGTGAAGGTGAGGTGAGAGAATGTCAGCACAAGAAGAGAGAAAGGAAGAAGGAATTCCGTCAATACCAACAGTAGACTTTTTATCCAATTTCTGAAGTAAACGCTCAACATCCCGTATGGAAAAGTCGAGGTGTTTATCCATCGTTGGCAAGTCTGGAGTGGTAGAAGGAGGAATTTGCTTCTGAAGAGAAGAATAAGAGGAAAAATGAGAATTGAAGAGTTCAGCTTTATCCGCATCTGTGGAAAACGTCTCCAGTGTCGATATTAGGACCGTAAAAGTTACCGTTACTTCTTCGGCCGTTATCGACAACGGTAACTGAAAAGACAGTTACTGTTGTTTTAACTGTAACTGTGTTTTCAGTTAGCGTTAAATCAACGCAATGGGAACTTTTGCAGTCCTAGTCGATATTCTAAAACCTATGTTATGTTTTAGTGCAAATAGTTATAGTAATGCATACAAAAATAAATCAAAATTTCATGCTTATTTTCCTACAAAACGATAATGTCGTTTACTATTTGTGAGTTTAGATCAGATCCTCGTTGAGTGATGGTCATGTCTGCAGCCGAAAAAAGTTTCGCTCCACGAGCATCCCGTCTTACCAGTTTTTAGATCTTCTAAGACCCGTGTCAGTCGAACAAAGGAATTTTTTCCTATGCGGGACCTCGTCTCCCTGACACATTTCTGTAGTGCAGGTACAATAGCCAAGAAAAACTAAAAACTCACGAACAGGCTACAGAGAGCGCTTCTGTCGATTCATTTGTTCTATGAAATAGAAGGAATGCTCATGTGTAATACTGATAATTCAAGGTTGTCTTTTACTCATATCAAAGCAGCTCTGTTGAAAAAGATAGTGTAAACTGAAATTTCAAAGTGTAGCCGGTGCACTGCAATGTGTAGAGTGTAGCTTCGTTTTGCAGAATTTGTTTTGTTACTTTATCATTAGAATCCGAAACAAAGTTGATAGAAGCGTCAATAGACTTTAACATGTTTTCAAGTTCACTTAAGTTTTTTCTGAAATCAAATCAAATCAAATTTATTTTATGTCCTTGATGTTCCTCCTTTAATTATCCTCTAGCGTTAGTGTTTACCGTAAAAAACATAAAGCAATTACATGAATAAGGCACAGTAAAGCGCAATATCATTGCATTGACGGACAGTCTCAAATAAAGCGCTGATGTGACGATAAAAGTGTGTCAGTATCATATCGGATAATAATTTTAACGCTAAACGTATGGCATCACTTTTCTATTGACAAGGAGTTTTCGTCAAAAGTGTGCTGGTTTTCATCAGCACCGTTTTTATCTAAGGCCTAGTCTGGATTAATGAATCTGATTGGAGTTGCTAAGAGGCAATACCAATCAAATTTCTTAACCTAGAGTTAACTCTTATAATGTAATAATAATAGCCAGCCCTAAATCCTTATTATACTCTTCTCATGACACTATTACGCTTTTTCGAGATTATGCTATTGATGTGGTTGTTATCATCAGCATAAGCGCAGTGAATGGCTAGCAATACCATCTAGTTGACATGTGCTATTGTCTGCAGCCTTTATAAATATGTTTCACTTTGCAGCTATGTGCCATATGTTCTAATTGTGTTTGCTACTGCTTGCAACCTACGCATTTATGCATTTCTTAAACTCTTGTATGTCTATTTTCTCGCTTAAATTGCATAAAGTAACAATAAAAAGTTCTCCAAATCACTTTTGTCTCTATTTTGCTCAGCCGTGGTGCAATATGACTAGTCACGGTGACAGAACAATCTTTTGTATATTACACACAGGGGTAGATAGATATATTGACACTGTAAGTAAGTATGGTCGACGTTAGCTTCTCTTTGTTACAAAAAAATTATTTATCAAAGCACATGTATGGACAATTTAAATGAAGAAGAGGAATATTTGGCAGCAGCTGATAGGTTTGAAAGTGAAAAATGACTCATCTTTGAGTGGAAAAAATATTTTTGGAAGCTGTAAAAAAATGTTTTATCCAAGCAAGAAAATGGATATGAATTTATTTATCCATACATGTATACGTAGAGTGTGTGCGTAACAGAGAAAGCACGACTAAAAGAAGCTTCGTTTGGCTAGAAAATATGAGCGAAGGTATGTTTCTTGTAAGATCTCTTTTTGCTTAAAACTAATTTGAATTCTGTTCAATTTTTGGCTCACTGTCATATTTTTATTTCTTGCTTTTTGCATGTGTTTTTTTGACTGACGAGTCAGAAATTTCCGAGTCAGAATTTCTGATTTTGCATTCAAACATTATGCTTTATAAGAGTTTTTTGGGTTTGGATGAAGAGCCCACTTAAAGAAGAGTAGTTGATTTTTGTATTGGTTCCAGCATATCTCCGTATTTCTTCTGCAAAAGTCTGTATTTATTCTCTTGAAGCAAATGTTTTTTTTTGGGAGGCGGGGGAGGGGAGAGATTTTTCGGCTGCGTTTTCGATATCTAAGACGTTTACGATTAAAAGCATTTAATAATATAAATTTTAGTGTTAGTAGATTAGCACACAAGCCTTCTGGGGATATCTTGAGATGTTCTGTTGAATAATTCGTTCAATTGGGTATTTGTATCTTATGTTTTCAGATAAGAATGGCCTCAAAAGCCACAACAACAGCGAATTTTATTCAAGATTCAAATTCGGAGCAGAATTCTGCTTTAACAAATATTTTACAATTTTCAAGTGAATCCATACGTTTTATAGCCGATACAAACAACTGTTCCAATTTATCTGAAGAATGTTTAAAGTGTTTAACGTTGGAAACAACAGGCATTGTCAGATTTCTTTTGCAAGTAAGTTACCTTGCTGTAAGATGGTTAAAAACTGTGTTAGTTCAATGCTACTCTTCTTCTAGGATGCATTAAAGTTTACACGAAAATGTCGACGAACAAAGATGATCACAGATGATTTTGAATCAGCTATTAAACTTCGACATGTGGAGGTAATACAAAGTTTATATTGATGAATGTATTTATGTCATGTATGTATTTTATAGCCAGTTATCGGCTATAGATTATCCGGTGATCTTCCATTTAAATCAGCAGTTAATAGTCATCGCGAATTATATTATGTTGAAGATAAAGAAATACAACTTGAAGATGTGATTGCAGCTCCTACACCAAAAGCTCCATTCGATATTTCTTTACGTGGTAAATAATCACATCAATTGTTAACGCTTTTCTGACTGACATCACTTTTTTTTGTGTTTCTAGCGCACTGGCTAGCAATTGACGGAAAACAACCTGCAATCAACGAAAATCCAGAGATAACATCCAAAAATGATCATATCGCAGAAACAGTTGATCCGGTAATTGCTTAGTCGCTGCTACTTTTACTCTTTCATAAAATATCTATACATATAATTATTATTTTTTGCAGACAAAATCAATTATTCGAAAAAAATTCAATTTGGATACTGTCAAAGTGAAAAGTTCTGTCTCTCATGAATTGTCTCTAGTATGTAGTCTATTTTACATTATGTAATAGAGACAAGAAAGAGATCATTTTTTTAACATACTTTTTTAAGGAACAGCAAATTTATTACAAAGAAATAACGGAAGCATGTGTCGGATGTGACGAACAGAAACGACAGGTAATGGAGTTTATATTGAATAGTTGTAGCATGAAAACTGTCTTCCTTTTTTTTAAGGAGGCTATAGCAAGTTTATCGAGTGATACAGGTCTTCATCAAATCCTACCTCGTTTAGTTTTGTTTATCTCAGAAGGGGTAAGTCACTGATCTGCCGCTTTTGTTTTATAATTTTACCATTTATTACGTGTTCTCTCTTGGAACATAGATTATATATAGGTTTTTCCCAAAAAGTATAAATTTTTACGTCCGAGTTCAAGATGTGCGTGTATTAAAAAAACTTCCAGTAAATAATGATTAATATCGTTTAAGCGAGAGTCTGTTAGCTGTAGAAAGTCTTAGAAAATATCTAGTACTAAATAACTATGCATTTATATAAAATATCAATGATCGTTTCAATTCAAAAAGCATTAGAAAAGTGTACATTTTGTTTTAGGTTAAAGTTAATTTAATGCAATACAATTTGGCCATACTTATCTATTTGATGCGTATGACAATCTCGTTGCTTGAAAATAAATCATTATATTGTGAAAAATATGTAAGTGATTAGCTTTTATGTTTACTTACTAAGATAAGTATCGTATAAATTATATATTTTAGTTACATCAATTATTTCCAGCTGTCATGTCTTGTATATTGGCCAGACAGTTATGTTCACGTCCTGAAACAGATAATCATTGGGCATTGCGAGATTTTGCTGCATCACGTTGTGCACAAATGGTGAAGTATGTATTTATTATTTTTGATTAGATTATTGCTATAGTATTTTTAACTGTCTTTAGAATGTTTTCCGCAAGTATCCATGGATTAAGAAATCGAATTGTGAGAATATTTCTTCGAGTATTCAACAGTGAAAGATATCCTCTTGTTACACAGTATGGTGCTCTGGTTGGTCTATGTGAAATGGGACAAGAAGTATGTCTCCGATCAAATGAGAATAAATTTCAAAATTTAAATTAATTTTTATTATTTTGGTAGACCATTGAAGAACTTGTTTTTCCAATAGTGAAAATTATTGGTGAAAGAATAATGAAAATTACCGAGAGTTCACCAATGACACCGTTAGATAAAACAGCTATAGAAAAAATTAATTATCAGTTATTGGTATGTAGTAGATTGTCTCTGATCTAATCCTAACAGGTTATTATGTACGTCTTTGTTTTTAGAAATATGTTCCATCTGCCTATCGTGCATGTCGTAATGCTCCGGATGATATAGAAAGTTTTAAACATGAATTTGGTAATTATTTTGGAGCGAAACTTTATAATCAAGTTTTACAATTAAGACATCAACCAAATCAACGATCACTGGTAAATACTCAGGTATTTTCACGTTTTTATTCTTCAGACTCTCATAAGTTAAGTTCAGTACTTGCTAAAAAAACTTGGTTATGTAGATTTTTTAAAGTTCATGTAACCGTAAGTGCTGTGTATTATTTGACTACAGCGAATATTCAACAAAACGAAATTTATATTTGTTAAATTAAGATTTTTATTCGTACATGACATGTATTAATAGCGAAGTAAAGGAGCGTTTCAAAATATATTCACGTCGGTTGTTATTCTTCTATTCTGTTCGTTCTGTATCGCTATGATACCAGAGATGGGCAAGTCGGATGTTTTTCAGTCCGAATCAAGCCCAAGAGTTCGGTAGGAGCTAAGCTCGGATCAATTCCAGTCCGCTAAGTTTTTAAGTCCAATGTTAGCCTCATACATTATTTCCCATTTCCATTCCTTTTCTATTTTTTTCGTCAGAAAGACATTATTTCTTTACATGGCTATAGTAACAAAAAACCGAAAACAACAAAAACGTTTTGTGAATGTTAAAAAACAAGAACAGGACCGGACTCTTTGTTTTCTTTTGTTATACAAAAATGAAAAGGAAAGCCTAATTGAGACGAGAAACATTACATTTGAGTAAAGTAAAACGTGAGAGGTTCTTTCTCATCATTTTTGATCGATGTGGTCGTGTAAGAAAACCGAATTGAGAGAACACTGTCTTAATCGGAGCCGAAGTACTGGGCACACAAGTATTTTTGTTGCTAGTGTGCTCAGCATCGGGTACAGAGAGGATTTATTGAAAATTAAACTACTATCTGTATCTTCTTCTTTCAAATAAAGCAAAATTTCCCCAGCAATATCATTGTCCGGTATTGCTATAGAAGTTTTTTGTTTTTTTAGGCAGACGAGCGTTTAGTGCCAAGAAATGAATCAATCAGCAAAAAAAAAAAGACAGCCGTCTTTTGATCGCAGCTCATCTTAACCGACCATGCGGTAACATCAATAAGATAAAAGAACAGATTTGAACTGAAAAGACCAGTCACAACTGTGAAAAAATCAGTCCAGTTACACTCCGCGTGAAAAAATCTGATCAGTCCAGACTTGGACTTGCCCATCTCTGTATGATACAACATAATTTAGAACTGTTTTATATATAACTGTCTTGTTTTGTAATTGCATAAACATGTAAAGTGTAAAGGCATTTCTGTCTTTACAAATGATGAGACGATAGATAGAAAAGCAATGTTTCTATATTTTAGAATGCATCAACAATTTCAACTAAATTTTATTTTTCGAGCCTTTTTCAAAATCTGAACTATTTGATAAGGTCATTTTTTAAGTGTGACATATTTGCATGACAAATATTATTTAGTATTGATCTGCCTTCAAAAGTGTTTTTGTAGTAAAACTTATTATCATCGAAAATTCGAGATTACTGTCAATATCCGACTTAACCATTACAAACAGCTCCAAAATTGTAACTGAATGCCTTTTCTCGAGGATCAGATCTGCCTGAAACTTTTTCCAAATAAAATTACTATTTGCCTGAAATATTCGCATGTATCATGAAATGAAAAATACTACTGATATTTCAATCTTTTAAAAAGAAGGAAATTGTTATTCTCTGTATTTAGCCAATTTTGTTTTTTGTCCTAATCTATCTGATGTATGGCATTATAAATAAGCGTCGAGGCCAATCACAGAGAAGAAGCATTTTCGATTAAATTATTAGAGGAAACATTGCGTTCTTGATCTCAGTTTGGCACTTATAGAATGAGAGATCTCATCTCTGTGACAGTTTGACTATTTACCTGTCTCACCATAGAAAAAGAGAAGAATTTTTCCCCAAAGCTTCGTTATGTTTATTTACTCATCCACCTTTACGCATTTATATGTGGGCGTAAGAAGCTCGCAATCTATGAAAGCCATTTCTCAGTAAAACTCTTCTGAAAAAGCTCGAAAGATAAAATTTAGTTGAAAATGTTGATGCATTCTAAAATATAGAAACATTGCTTTTCTATCTATCGTCTCATCATTTGTAGAGACAGAAATGCCTTTACACTTTACATGTTTATGCAATTACAAAACAAGACAGTTATATATAAAACAGTTCTAGATTATGTTGTATCATAACTGTACAGAACGAACGGAATAGAGGAATAACGACCGACCGATCTGAATATACTTTGAAACTCTCCCTAAGTAGAAACTCAGTACAGAAAAAAACGAGAAAGATGAAAACGCATGCAGACGTATCTGGCAACTTGAACTGTTACTTTATTGCACGATTGTACCTGTTGAGGTCCTACCATGATAATCTATGGCTACTACCGTTGTTCGCTCAAATTTTAGCGGATAGTGGCTTCGCTTAGAATCACAGAATATATGTATAATTTCAGAATCTTCAATAGAGATTTGTTTTTAAAAGCATGGAGCGTATTAGAGTTTATTGCTATTGTTCATTCGCTCAACTTAGGAATAGGTAAAACATCATTGTTCATAAGAGATGTTGTTCTGGTATTCGAAACTGGTTACCGAGAATGAGTATTCTTTTTCGTTATTTTGAAAATAAAAGCAGATTTGATTAATCTATTAACAAGGTTACACCTCGTCATCAAGCGGTCCTTATTCTAATGAGTCAAACTATTCGTTCTTTATTAATCATATCTGAATGTCTATCTATCGATACAAAAGTCGATATTATTTTTTTCCTTTTAATTGATCATTGCTATATTCATTTACCATCGTTACTCTCAGGTAATACATAATAGTAGGTGGTAACACTACGTACGTGATAATAAATGGCGAAGAGAGTAGGATGTTTGATTCACATTTAATATAAATAAAGATATATAAACTAGACCAAATTCAAACTACTTATTCAATCAAACAACACTCTTCTTCAAACATCTACATTTGGAAATAACAATGCCGGAGAGTATTATTGAAACTGCATCATATTCATATGACACTAGTGCAACCGAACGTCGGCGATCACCATCTTTAATACGAAACAATTCTGTTTCTCAGTTTTTAAATTCAAAATCTGTGTTCGATGGTGACATAGGTATACAAGCAATGGTCAATTCTCCCATGTCAAGTCCACGTACAAATCATCGACGTCAGGGGAGTGCAGAATATTATCAAACAGAAGTTGTTTCGAATGCTATGGCAAAAAATATTGACGCTTTAAATTTAACCGATAACCATCGACGAAATAGTTTCAATGCTAATAATGTTGGCATGGGTAGTACTGAGAATTTATCCTCTGCAATCAACTATGGTTCATCAACATCACTCAATAAAAGTGCAAGTCATAATAGTATGGCTGCAGTCAATTATCCAATTGGTCCATTAGATCTCAACAAATATCCAGTTAATTACGATCCACACCCAGAAATGATTCATCGGCCTAACGCCGATCGTGTTACATACAAACAAGATGTTGCCATTCGCTATTTGCAACCTCCAACTCCGCCTCCTCCCGGACCAGTCATCATTCGTGAAATAAGAGCACCCGCTTTGCCAGACGCTCCCCCAATTGTTATTAAACAAAGAGCGCCTGTTCCTGTCACTCCTCCACCGATTATAGTGCGTGAAAGACCCCCTCAACCCCCAGCTATAATTCCACCACGTATCGTTGAAAAATATTTGCCACCACCGCCTCCAGGTCCACGAAAAGTCATTATTGAACGAATGCCTGCATTACCTCCAAAGCCTCAATCGATCGTGATTGAAAAATGGTTACCGTATAAACAACAACAACAAAGTCGTGTTATTATTCAGCGTGCTCCAGCTCCTATACCGTTACAGAAACAGAAAAATACCATCATTACATGGGATGCTCCACAAGTTGATATTGTCAAAAATGTTCATAATTTGGGTACGATACGAGCTGATCCTATGTTATACTATCGACAGTATGGACCTAATTTAGCTACGACTGATTATGTTTTATCAACAATGTCAAGATACGGTGTTGATTATGGTTATCAAACAATGAATGATTCAACAAGTGTAAGGCATACATCCGATAGAACTGGAGTATTTGCAGATCACCGCCTAAGTGATCAGCAAATATTAGAAGGCCATTATTCGTCCCGTGCTGGTGATAATGAGTCAAATTCTGATGTATTTCTTCACAATAATAATAATTTAACTATGTCTGGAGTTACAACTAGTTATGCCTCCGAACAATATCATGATGAAACCAGAAGAAGCAGCCGACGTCTGAGTGCAAATGAAGAACAACATGTTCTACGTCAGGCAGGATTGAATGAACAAATAAGCACTTAATGTTGCATCAAATGAAAATAAACAGTTCGATTTGCAGAAAGATGAATTTATCGTCTTTCATAAGGACGGAACACTAAAACTTCTTTTTCTTTTATCTCTTATACATATATGTATATAATATATACTTCTATACGTTAGACTCGCTTGAATAGAAGTATGCATGTGTGTTTTGAATAATTGTATGTTGGATTTTTTATATCGTACAGATGTTTAAAAGAATAAAACTGTTTTATTCTATTTTCGTTGTTATAAAACAGCTGTACATTCTGTTCGAGCATTATCGTATTCGTAGACATCCGAAGGATTTCATGTCTGACATTCTGTTTTTGCATGTCGATGAAGCGGATGACGGTGCTCATCTGATGGATCGTATGGTTTAAATATGGCTTAAAATTTATGTCTAATATTTACACCCGAATGAATAAATCATAGAAAAGAACAGCTTCCATATAAAGAGTTGCGCTTTCATTCAATTTTAAAAAAAGAAATAAAAGAATTTTACCTGTCTCTTCAAACGAAAGAAAACTATGGTAACATTCTCTTCTATCCATGATGAGTTCAGAAAAAAAAATGAGTTGATTAGTGGATGAGCAAATCTCTCGCACTATTTTCTGCCAAAAATGTTTTTTGTGCTATAGATTTTATATTTGCTTTGTTTAGAATCGTTCACAGTACAACGCTCCATCACCTGCCACAACAACAGCTAGTGTTCGACCAACCATAGCAGCAGCATCTAAATTTCTACCAACAAATCCTAGTCCACAGCAATCATCGTTCAATAGTTCAACTGGAGCAACAAAAGTCGTCCGAGTTGTCAATTGTTCAAGACAACAAACACCGCCAGCATCAAAACTTTCTCCCTCATCATCATCATCCATTCCTGCATCATCAACAAATAGTGTTGCGCCTAGTAACAGTTTATTAGCATTACCTTCTAATAGTTGTGAGAGAGTTGTGCCCGAAGGGCCTTAGAATTAAGTCGATTTTGATGTAAATATTTTTAGACGTGAGCAAATTTTTTTGGTACTTTTTTTGTATAGATAGATTTTTCTTTCTATTACTGTTTTTTTGTTAAATATTTGTCAAATTTTATACAAAAAGTTGTTCTATAAATGATGTTTGGTTTTCCTAAGATCTGCTATCTTATCTGTTAATGATTTCGTAGTTATATTTCGATAATATTTGAATTCGTGTTCTAGATTGAAATATATAGATTCGTGTTACATTTTTTGTTCATCAGATATTATTCAATTTCATAATCACAAACAGTCAAAAGATGGCGAAACCAGTTGATCCAACTAAAGAAGATAAATATGCCACTGCCATTCTGAGTAAGTAGACATTTGTTTAATAAAACAAATAGTGAAACTATCCTGCACGTAGCAAGTTGCATGAGTATTACATATTGAAATCACCGATTTTTTTGTTCTCTAGAGTCTATCTAAGGGCAGAACAAGATGGAATGTTTCAACATCCTGCATAATAAATTTGAGCTTTTTGAGTCCTATTGTTCTTACTTGTACTTCTAATATAAATTAAACTTATTTGGTTTATTTTTGTAGACAAAAAAGAACGTCCGAATCGCTTGTTGGTTGATGAAGCTGTCAACGATGATAACAGTGTTGTGGCATTATCACAACAAAAAATGGACGAATTACAATTATTTCGTGGTGATACAGTTGTATTAAAAGGCAAAAAACGAAAAGAAACAATTTGTATTGTATTAGCCGACGACACATGTCCGAATGACCGTATTCGAATGAATCGTACTGTGAGAAATAATCTAAGGGTTCGACTTGGTGATGTTGTTCAAATTCAAGGATGTCAAGATGTAAAATATGGCAAAAGAATACATGTCTTACCCATTGATGATACTGTACAAGGTAAAAAATACTCACAGGCCCACTTGAACAATCCTCTTTTTCACGTGTGTTACATAAATCTTCACTTTTTTCTAAGTCCGCTGATGGAGAGACAGATTAACTACTAATACTAGTTCAGAAACTACAGTTTTGAACACAATGGGTATAACAGTGACTCTGGTTTTCATTTTAGGCATCACGGGAAATTTATTTGAAGTTTACCTGAAACCGTATTTTGTTGAAGCCTATCGTCCTGTTCGTAAAAATGATGTATTTGTCGTACGTGCAGCAATGCGTGCTGTTGAATTTAAAGTTATTGAAACTGAGCCATCTCCGTATTGTATTGTTGCACCAGACACCGTCATCCATTGTGAAGGTGATCCAATTAAACGCGAAGTAAGACAAAAAAAACTGTCTCGTTGAAATTTAAAAAATTCTTCTCTCACTGATTTTAAGGAGGAAGAAGCGTCATTGAATGAAATTGGTTATGATGACATTGGTGGAGTTCGAAAACAATTAGCACAAATCAAAGAAATGGTTGAATTGCCATTACGACATCCACAATTGTTCAAAACAATCGGTGTCAAACCGCCCAGAGGCATTCTGTTGTACGGTCCACCTGGAACAGGTGAGTTTGAAAAAAAAACAAAAATTGCTAGTCTTTGAAAACGTTTATAAAACATAATCTAACTATTTTTTTTTACCTCTAGGAAAAACTTTGATAGCTCGAGCTGTTGCAAATGAGACTGGTGCATTTTTCTTCTTAATCAATGGTCCAGAAATTATGTCAAAATTAGCTGGTGAATCTGAATCAAATTTACGAAAAGCATTTGAAGAAGCTGAAAAGAATTCGCCAGCCATCATATTTATTGATGAATTAGATGCTATTGCACCAAAACGTGAAAAAACACATGGTGAAGTTGAACGACGTATCGTTTCCCAATTATTAACATTGATGGATGGATTGAAACAACGTTCACATGTTATTGTAATGGCTGCGACAAATCGTCCAAATTCAATTGATCCTGCTTTACGACGATTTGGCCGTTTTGATCGTGAAGTTGATATCGGCATACCGGATGCTGTTGGACGTTTAGAAGTATTGCGTATACACACAAAGAATATGAAATTGTCGGATGATGTTGATTTAGTTCAAATAGGAAACGAAACACATGGTTATGTTGGTGCCGATTTAGCATCATTATGTTCTGAAGCAGCCTTACAACAAATTCGAGAAAAAATGGATGTTATAGATTTAGAAGAAGATACAATTGATGCTGGAGTTCTTGATTCATTAGCTGTTACACAAGATAACTTCCGATTTGCATTGAATCAATCAAATCCAAGTGCATTAAGAGAAACAGTTGTTGAAGTACCAACAGTTACATGGGAAGATATTGGTGGATTGGAAAATGTTAAACGAGAATTACAAGAATTAGTGCAATATCCTGTTGAACATCCAGAGAAATTTTTAAAATTTGGCATGACACCATCGAGAGGAGTGCTGTTTTATGGACCCCCTGGTTGTGGTACGTAGAAGCATTTTGATGAACTGTTCGATTTATGCCGTCTTAGCTCGATTATTCACATCTTTTGTTCTATCTGACTTGTCCTATAATATATTTTTGTTTTAGGTAAAACATTATTAGCTAAAGCCATTGCCAATGAATGTCAGGCGAACTTCATATCTGTCAAAGGACCAGAAATGTTAACCATGTGGTTTGGTGAATCAGAAGCAAATGTCCGTGATGTATTTGATAAGGCTCGTCAAGCAGCACCGTGCGTATTGTTTTTCGATGAATTAGATTCAATTGCGAAAGCACGTGGAGGAAGTGTTGGTGATGGAGGTGGAGCAGCTGATCGTGTGATTAATCAAATTCTAACAGAAATGGATGGAATGGGAGCAAAGAAAAATGTTTTCATCATTGGAGCCACAAATCGACCCGATATCATTGACTCTGCTATACTGCGTCCAGGTACGATATTCACTAGAAAATACTATATGACTTTAAGTAACTAAGTTAGATCTATGATTAGATCGGATGAGGTTGACCAAAATGTTTGCAGATTTATTAGATTCGTGTAATCTAAAAGGGATTGGATGTGTTAACAGAAATCGAATCTATATTAATGTTCGAAAAATTTAGAATGGTTCAAATTGAGGTTTATTTTTGAAATTACGACCACTCGGTTAGAAAAATTTGCTCTAATTAGTGTATGTATTTTGTTTTCTAGGTCGTCTTGATCAGCTTATTTATATTCCATTACCCGATGAGAAATCTCGTACAGCTATATTAAAAGCAGCATTACGTAAATCTCCTGTCTCCAAAGATGTTGATATTCAATATTTGTCTACCGTATCCAATGGATTTAGTGGTGCAGATTTAACTGAAATTTGTCAACGTGCTTGTAAATTAGCCATACGGGAATCAATTGAAAAGGAAATAAATCGTGAAAAAGAACGTCAGCGAAATCAAACAACAGCAATGGATGATGAATTTGATCCCGTGCCAGAAATTCGACGTGATCATTTCGAAGAAGCAATGAAATTTGCACGACGTAGTGTGTCGGATAATGATATTCGTAAATATGAAATGTTCGCACAAACATTACAACAATCCAGAGGTTTTGGTTCATCGTTTCGTTTTCCGGAACAGCAGCAACAACACCCACCATCACAAGGTGGTGGCACTGGGGGGCACGGTGGAAGTGGACATGGCGGAACCAATGACGATGATGATTTATACGCTTAGAATCAGAGACAGCAAACGAGTGCAAAAGCAATTTTTTATTTTAATTGAGAATTTTTCGTCATGTTTTTTATCTCATAATTTTGGTTTCTTTTATTCTTCTTTTATTGTCGATTATTCTTCGTCGCATTTCGTGAGTATGTATTTGTGTCTGCTCATGGTATCCGTTATGTTTCTTCATGTACAAAAAGAACAGCATTTTTTTGTTTTCTCTAAAAGAGAGAAGAAATTTATGATTGTTATACTCGCGTTTGTTCCTGTTTTTTCTTGTTGTCTATGAAACATCAATTTATTTCTACATGAAAAAAACGATGATCATTTAATAAAGAAATGAAATGGAATAATTATCAAAAACGAGGAAAGAAAGCAATTATCACCCGAAAATTACATCTGTTTGGGCACTAAAACATGGTGTTTTGTTTCAGAGTAGACTGCAGGAAAGCTTAAAAGTAGATCAACCATGTGTGTCAGTCATTTAAATTCAATCTATAGATATTGACTAGCATTGACTGAAATAATTATGAACTCTTAGTAAGACGTACCACATGCACATTAGATGACGTCTAATATGTATGTGGAACGTAAAGTTAGAACAATTAGAACGTAAAGTAACGCATGCCTAGCAGGGCTGGGCGAGTCCAAGTAATGAAGCGAGCAGGCGCGAATTCGAGCCTCGAGTTCAGAAATTTTTTCAAAGTTTTTTGGCTTTCATTTTTAAATTTCTTTGTTCTCGTGTGTCGTATAACACAATTTTTTAAGCATAATTTTTAAACAGAGTAACACGTGAATCTATACTAATATTGAAAAAGTGCAAATTTCTCTGTTCATTTATGTTAAAAGTTGAATTGATCGGACTCGAAATACGAAAACACAAATTGGAGTCCTGAGTCCACCAAAAAATCTTCCAAGTCCGGAGTCGAACTCGCCCAGTTTTGAAACGTAGTAAACGTAGAACAGTTTTTGATAGTAGAATGTAGAATTATGAATCGTATTTGTCATCAAATATTGATTCTCTTTTTTTACTTTTTGAATTTATTGGTTCAAGTTACATGATACAGATGAAGGGTCGAAATCTGCCTCTAAATTCAAATATTTTTCGAAAAATATTTTTTTTGAGAATTTTACACCTAAAGTGAGCCGGTAAACTTGGTGAATTAAACGCTTTGCTTTACGATTGAAATATGTTGCTTTACCATTAATTGTTTGAAGGCAGGTTTTAATGAAGCGACTAATGTCGAAGAAAGTGCTCTTAGTTATCCGACGAGGATAAGAGCCAATTCTTTACACTCTTTTCACGACATGAGAATGTATTGTTTAATTTAACCTCCTTGTTTGTCAGTGATTTGATGATCGATGTGAACTATGCAATCGGGTAATCATCACTCTCACCTTTAAAAATGCTTCAGCGCTGACGTGAGCAACGTATGCATAAGGTACGTCAAGCTGAAGTACTGTACTTGTATATTGAGATACCTGTCTGCTACTACTGATGTTTTGCAACTATTTTTTTGTCCTCTTCCCCTGGAAAGCCTTTTAATCTCTACCTAACGTGTTTTTTCAGAGAAAATAAAGTCTCTTTAATGGAGGTCTCTTGAGTTCCTAAAATCCGATGATCCTGGAATGATTTCTTGTTATTCTCAAGTCCGCAGTTAATGAAAATAAAAAAACAATTGATATTTGATGCTGAATATTCTTGACTCCCATGAGGTATATTTGCGTTTGAAACGGTGTACAAACGCGTATATTGATTCAACAGCTGAAAAACGAGTTTCAGGCATCGATTGAACGCGTTTCTATTATTTCATCGTTTATATGCGTTTTTTTCAGAACCTTAAGAAGCATCTATCAAATGGACTTCATTTTCTCAAAAAAATAGACCTAGATTAAAGAGGCTTCGTGCGATCAGGAGAAAGCACAAAAAATGAGCCGAAGGATTGATCTAAATATCTCTAACACCTCGGTAATAGCGCCACTTACGCCATGTGAGTAACATGTAATATTCTTGCAGTCCACATCATTCTCGAGCCTGTGAGTTGTGTAGATCAATAGAATCGACGAGCTCTGCAAAACGAATGGAATCTAGTTACTGACTGAGAAAGTTTTATGATTCCTAGTATCTTTAGATACGCTCGTTGATTAACTATACGATATATAACCCGCGTTTTCTTGATGTGGCAGCTTCGATAAATTAATAGTAGACATATCTGCTCTCTGGTACAGAAAGGATTGAGAAAGATAGTGAGCATTGAAACAAAATAATCAATAATTTGTGTAAGAATGGTGCTAGAAGTCTAAAAAGAGATGGCGCGCTTGTTTGCAGATTATTATTGGCTTAGTGAACACCAAACTGAAGAAATATCAATCAAACTAAAACAAAGGAAAAGTTTATCGGAGGCGATGGATGTCAAAATAATAAAACCGTAAGCAAAGGGTGTCTCCTCCTGAAAACCAACTCATTTGGAGTTTTTTTCTTTCTTATCTTGAGTTGCCCGAAGACAAACATGTAATACTAAATTACTAATTACAAAGTAGGAAAGCTTTCATCAAATACGCTTTGCATCACGCTGCAATTTTATGTCACTTTTGTTGTTTAATAAGTTTTTTCTTTCTTTTTAATCGAACTTTTCATAAAATGTTTGTGTCTTCTCGTTTTATGACAGTTACAAGAAGTGAAAAAGGATCGTGATCTTCAATTTTTCATTTAACTTTCAAAATTTTTCAATCAATTCAATACTTTTGCCACAACTTTCTCTTGCAAACCTCTACCTTCGTCGTAAACATTTTCGATTTGTACAGTTTTTCAAAATTTATCATCGTCTTAGTCATCTTTTACTCTGTTCATCGTCCTCATTACTCTTCTTTATGCTGTCATCATTCTAAGTATGTTCGCATTCCAATCTCCCTGTCAATGGTTTTTCTTTTCTAACAATTTTTTGTTCTGTCTTGTTTTTTCTATTCAACTATTACTGACTGGAATAAACTTCCTGAGTCAGTTATTTGTTTTTCTTCTTTAATGTCTTTCAGAAAGGCACTAGCTCAGTAAAATTCAGCCATGTTCCGAGTCACAATAAACTCATGTTAGTTGTTTTCTTTAACGTTATTTTATTTGTGTTTATTTTCATCATTGTATACTCTAGTTTCTCCTTTTTCTTCTGTTTATTTCTGTTGTTTCTTTTATTTCTCTTACTCTTTCTCTTTTCCCTGTTCTATTTTTGTAGTTTGGCTCGAGCCATTGATATTACAGGTCGGGACCTTTGATACCTCTCACTTTTTTGAATAAACTGGTCCTAGTCTTAGGATCATGATCTTGAACTTTTTATTATAACTTTCAAAATTTTTCAATAGGTGAAGAGCATTAAGAGATAGCATGTAAATGTGTAAATGTATTTTTTTCAAAACTTTCCAACCATCCAAAGAGTTCTCTCTTAGTTCTACATAATACGTAAGAACTATTCAATCAGAGAATCACAGAAGTAAAATTTATGAAGAACTTTCTCCCTAGTTGGTTTTAGAATTCTTTTAATTACCAAATATTATTAGTAGAGAGCAGTAATATTCTGAAAAAAATCTTCTAGTTTGCAATATTTGCCCTGTTTAGTTCCTAATTCATAGTTCATCTTTCAACATCTTAACCAGGCTTATTTTCTGACTAACCATGGTTTTTACGTTCGAAAAAAATAAATAATTATTTCGTCGATGTTTTTTTTCTCTCCGTTACTCTCTTTCTCTTCGTTTTCGACAACAGGCTCGTCATGGTTTTATATTGTGTATATGTTTTTGTAACGTGACACACACACACACCTGACCAGTTTGAGTTATACCTCTCCTTTCTGTCCTTTCATCATCGTTGTATTCATATATTTCATCCAAATTAGACACATCATGCGCATCAAAAATGTACGTTTTATATCTTCTTTTGTTATTGTGTTGTTCACTAAAATATTATTGAAGTTAGCAAAAAAAGAAACCTCAGTCTAGACGTACAAAATAGTTTAGATTTATTCCCTTCAATTAGGAATTAGCATAATTCAGGTCATCATGACATCTTCTATTGTGTTTTTAATCAAGCTCTGTTTTTGCCAAATGAAATGAAATTGAAAATGTGCCTTAGAACATTGTTATTGAAATATGTTATAGAACAGTGGGTAAAAAATTTTTCTCTATATTCCACTTTGTTTTTTTCTGAATTGAAGAAAAAGAAGCTGATTTCCGTATTTGTACGGAATTTTAATTTCTTTTTATTGATTGATGATACAGCATTTTTTTTTACCTTGCGTTTATTTGCCAGCGGCTGTTAAACTATAAAAGTTTATTTCAAAATATTTGAATTAGGATTGAAAAGAACGAAAGAAAAAAACAATGATGATTTGACCAGTTTATTTTGTTGAGTGACAAACAAGAAGTTTGTGCATATCGTGTGTTGTAAGTCAAGTCATTTTAGAATATTTTCGAAGGTTTCGCTCTTTTTTCTTTTCACCTTCTTGAAATTAAGCAACTAAGTAAAGGGTAACTCTGTTTTCTAATCTTTTAACTAAACTGTGTGTTTGTGTAAGAAATCGGTCATCTAAAAAACAGTTTAAATTAATAGACGTGGTAATTTTTTTTCGTCTTTTTACTTTCGTTTCTTTTAGGGTTTTTTCTTCTTCTTCTTTGCATATGTGCGTATATTTACGAAAAAAAATTTTGTATCTGAATAGATGCATAAACTCTATGATCTGACAATCATTCACACTCGTTCATAAATGGAAAAAGAAAAAACCTCGTGAAATTCATTGCATAATGCCAAAAAATAAAGTAAAAAGACTCGCCGAAAAAAAACACTCATCTTGCGTTTAAATCAATAATTTTTTATTTCTATTAATAACAAACTTCATTGTTTTGTTATTTTATTTTTGGGTTCTTCTGTCTCGAATTATTTACGCATTAGTTTTTAAAATTAGTTTAACATATAAGGGTAATTATCGTGTTTAAAAAGATGAATAAATAGTTCATATTTTTAAGTAATTATAGTTCTTTCTATCTACAATACTTATTTTCGTTTTATGGAAATTTATCTTAGAACTAATTTCAAATTATCAAGGTTTTTGTAAGTGGGCAGGATGTATTTGTAATTGATTCTATTTCGGTAAATTTTCTCTTTTTCTCGTGCATTTATATGTGCAAATTGTTTAGTAATATATCTGATTTCTTTAATCTTCTTACATCTATCTCTACACATACCTACACATATACATACACAAACACAAACATATACAAATTTAAATTTTCTTATCCTATCAACTATTATTAAAAAATGATTATTCTTCAAGATCTACACCGTGTCAACTTGTTATGTGTTAATATTTTTATTAAATTTTTCGTTTTTTTCAACAGGTTTTAAATTATTTGTGTAACATTTATTTGCCCACAATGATCAGTGTGTGATGTAATCAATTCATCTCTTACTTATAATAGATAAGGTATTTCTACAATCATATTTTGAGAAAAAGAGAAGTATACTTGACATAGATTCTATATATTTTGTATTAATAAGTTTAGGAATCAATGAGTATAAAAAGCATTTTCAAGTTTTACACTATACGATGGTAACATCTTGAAAAATGTGAACCAAAAGGAGTAGTAATATTATGTGAAAACCGACTTTTTATTAGCTGCAAGTGTACTTAAACTTGCACATTTGATTAGACGATAAAAATTGAACATGTTTCTCTATTTAACGATAATTGAATGGTTTATGACAGTTGTCAGAGTTTAAAAAAAATAGTTTTAACGTCTTTTAAAACTAATTTGAAAAAAAAAATGAAATTTTAAACTGCTATTAATACAATTATTCTTATTCTTAAATTGTCATTCAGTTCGAAGACTAGTTATGTTGATGTTTATCATCAATCTAAGGCAAATTTTAAAAATGTGTTATTTTTGTAAGTCCCATTTTTTGTTTTGACTGACTAAAAATTCCATAACAGAAATATCAATAGTGGGCGATATCCAACCTTCCGTTCATTGTTGTGTTCAATTAGAAGACTATTGTGGGCGAAATTTTACATGAAAGAAAAGAGAAAAGAAAATGTGAATTGTACGTAGTTGTTTGTATTACTTGTAATATTTGATCGACAATATTGTGGTATACATAGAAAACAATCTAACATTAATAAAACAAGCCGATTAGCGATTTAAACATAACTTTTTGGTTTTTTTCTTCTCTACATTCTACAGACACCGTATGTACTTGTTACGATCACCGTCAATACTTTACTATTCGACAACAATATTTGAGTGTGTCCAAATACATGAAGTAAAAGAGAGAAAAAAAAAAAGAGAAAGAAAGAAAATGGATTGTTCACTTTGAAACATTAAGCTAACACAACATGAAAAAATACAATGTAGAATACAATGTAAATATGGGAAAATAAAGCAAAAATATGTATATTTTTTAAAAAAAAATTTGTTATTGTTTTCTTTATTGCTTTTTTGCCTCGAAATGTTTTTAGTCTAATATTTTATCATTGAAAGGTTTGAAATCATACTTAGACGTGCTATAGAGTATAGTTTAATCAAATTTAATCTCTAGAGTTTATTTTAATAATCACCATTTTTATCGAGAAATTACGTTGATTGCTCTTAATTGTGACTATTTGCTGCTATCTTTCATCCTCGAGAAGATATTTTTATAGATTATATCACATAACATTATTTTCATTAAATAAAAAAAAAGTTAGTTGTAGAATGATGGAAAAATAAAAAATTTAAATAGAAATTCACTTCACATGCTCAAAAAACATTAAACTTAAATGGTTATTCATGTCAATATTGCTATTTAGTTTTGAATATATTCTAGTATATTTAAATATTGAAGATGATATATTCAAATATTTAATGAATTTTTCTACTCAATCGATATATGAATTTCTATAAAATATTTTGAGTATGATTATTCCGTCATTTTATATGTAGCTAAATGTAAACTGGTAGTTTTCATGCTAACTGTTTATTATTTTGTTTTAGATCTATAGTATGCGCAATAATTGATTCAATTTTATTATGTCGTCTACTGACGCGCTAAATAATCGTTCATTATCACCCGATATTCTATCATCAGCTATAACTGATCATACAACGGCTACAAAAAATATTAATCAAACTTCAAAAACGACTACAAATGGTATTGGTACAACATCACATTCATTTAATTTAGCCACATTTCACACACCAAATGATAATTCATCAAATTCATTATTATCTCCACGTGAACGTTGTAGACGATGTCAACAATTAGTCTATGTAACAGAACGTATAGGACCATTAAAAACTTATATTTATCATAAATTATGTTTTAAATGTTTAAAATGTGAACGACAATTAGATTTAAAAACATATTTTACAAATTCCGTTGATTTAAATGATAAAGAAATTTATTGTCAATCACATGTACCTAAATCGGGTAAAGGATCATTTGGAGCAGAAAATATGCAAATACAATCAGTAATGAATGCACCAAAATTAAGTGTAATGCAAAAATTAGATGATAGACTCAAAGTAAGTTTTCTTGATTATATACAAAAATACAAATTTTAGAAAAAAATGAAAAATTTATTTATTTAGGGTACACATCTTGATTCATCAGCAATAAGTATAGCACATGCAATGAAAGCGCAACTATTATTACAAGGGGGACGAGACAAAATTTCATCCAGTCACAAATTTCCAGCTATGCCTCCAGTAAGACAAGTCTAATATATATTTTTTTAGTATATACCATTTCTTTTCCATAGGACATTATACATGCAAGAGAAGAAGTTAGAAGAGCACAAAAATCATTAGAAGACAAACAACGTGAGGAAGAAGATCGATTATTTGCTGTAAGTTATTTATAGACTATAATTTTTCTTATATGAAAATCAAGTGAATAAGTTTAAGATAATGATTTTTGCTAGATTTTAACTGTTATTTATTTTATTTTTAGATTTTTCGTGCAGAACGAGAAACTCAAGAGAAAAAAATTGAAAAAGAAGTTATTGAAGAATGGGAAAAGAAACTTGAAACTTTAACATCTCAATATGAAGATGATTTACGTCGAAAAAAAGATAAAAGTATTGAACGAGTATGTGTATCTATCACATTGTCTTTTATTCAACAGCACTATTACTATCATTATTTGTTAATAGGACTTAACGGTAAGATTTAAAAAAGAAAAAGAAGATTTAGAAAAACATATGACATTAAAACGTGAAAAAAAACGTGAAGTTGTACGAAAACAATTGAATGAGAAAGAACAAGAACAAACACATTCACTCGTATCAAAATTTAGTAAGGAAATGATCAATCTTATTCAAGTTAAAGAAGCAGAAGTATTGGTATGTTCATCTCTATCATACTAACATATTTTATTGATGTTCAAATCATTCTCGGTTTTTCTCAGGGTGAAAATGGGGTAAATGATGAAATTGTTACCGCGTTTTCCATGCTTCATTTACGTCAACCTCCACCACCACAACCGCCTCGACGACGCAAACGTGATTTATATGAAGATCCATCGATATTTGAACATGTTGATCAACAAGCAATTGCGGTTCGTAGTTTTTTTTAATTTTATTAATCCATTTACTTTATTTTTATGCTAATTTCTAGGTCGCTGAAAGTGAACAGACATCGTACACAGAATTAGTTGATCAGTTAACATACGGTTTATTAACTGATTTAGAAAAAGCAAGGTAATTATAGAGAAATTTATTTTCAAATAATCAAACATTTGTGTGTTGTTAAGAAAAACTCAATTTTTTAGACGAAATAAAGCTAGTTAGTTTAGAAGATTGATGAGAAAACGGATAATATCTATGTTATCATTGTTTCTTTGTTAAATAACGCGAATCTTACTTTCGAACGTACCAGCGGTACTTAGAGAAATTTTACATCTTGGAATAAATTTTATTATTCTTTTACTTTCAAAGACTTTTAATTGTCTTATGAAATTAAGTCTTAAATGTTCAACGATGTAAGTAAAATTGTAGAAAAACATGAAAGCATGATTTTGTATTTGTTTTTGTATTATTGTTCCGGCAATCGTTTTTCTGGCTATTTATTTTTGCTCCCGTTTTGCTCGTTTCTAAGCATCTTACAAATATCAATCTATAATCGTATATGATTTTTGCTATGGTTTTTTGTTCAATGAGGAACATTCGCTTTTCAATTCTTAAACAAAACCAGATGAATAATGGTAATCAATTGTTTTTCTTCTAGAGCAATATTTCGATGGATTACAGTGAAAGATCTAAATGCAATGGATTTTCAATCGAATTTAGCTGCTGATACACCAATGGGACTCTTACGTGGTATCAAATATGGAACAGAAACATACCATACATTATTCATGAGACTTTGCAGGTAAATATTTTAAATGTTTACTTTTTTAAATGAATAAGATTTTTCGAACAATTTTTTTAGTTATGCTGGGTTGCATTGCGTTGATATTAAGGGTCATTCAAAAAGTGTTGGATATGAACCAGGAATGAAAATTTTAGAAGGAAAATTTACGAATACATGGAATGCTGTTGTCATTGATGATGAATGGCGTTTTGTACAATGTAATTGGGGTGCACGCCATTTAGTAATGAGTAAAGATAAAAAACCAGCTGATCGTACACCACCCAAACCTACCCGTGAAAAAATTAAATATCAATATGATGAACATTATTTTCTACCTGATCCCGATGATTTTATATTAGAATTTTTCCCACACAAACCAGGTAAAAAATTCTACCATTAATGATCAATTATATCATTTTTCTCTTTTAATAGATTGGCAATTACTTGACAATCGAATAAATCTAAATGAATTTGAAAAATTGCCATTTGTTCGATCACTCTTCTTTCATTATCATTTGTCATTTGTTAATCAGCATAATGCTGTTATTTTGACTGACAATCGTGGTTCATGTGATATTAAATTAAGAATGCCTGATTCATTAAAACAACGTTTAGCATTTCATTTTCATTTGCGTTTTTCAAATTCCAATTCATCGATATCGTCATCTCAAGCTCTAACAACAGCAACAAACGCTAGTGCTAATCAAGAAGATATTACAGATTTTCAAGGAGTTAAACTTGAACGTTATGTATTGCATACAGTACAAGATGATCTTGTCTCATTTAATATTCATGTACCTCAAGAAGGAGATTATTTTATTGAAATATTCGCATCATTAGTGGTAATAAGAATGATCTATTGATAATAGTGTAAATACCAATGAACATTTCGTTTAGGAACCCGATCCAAATCCATTTGGCCAAAGTTTCAAATTGAAATGTGTATGTAAATATCGTATATTATGTAATGAATTGTTGCAACGAATGGTATGTAAAAATGTATTTTATCATTTTATCTAAAATAAATTTTGTTTTACAGAAAAGTTCAATCCTTGGAAACTTGAACTAATCCTTACTACGCGTGCAGTTCTCAAGACTGCCATTCTGTAATTTTTCTCTCAACACAGTTAATATCTCAACAAAATAATTCGGTGATTCGATCTTCTGTTGCGGTCACCCATCCACTTACTAATCGTCGTTCTGTTGCTTAACCAGAGAAAAGATAAATTCATTATTCCAATTTCTCTATGAGTCACGCGATTTCAGAACAGTTAAAGAAAGAAAATGATGAAAATGTTCAGGTATCCAAGGCCTGAGCTTTTCTTTAACGAAAAAGCGGTTGCAAAACAATATTTATTTAGTTCAAACAAGTCGAATTTGAAATATCAAAATCATCATGTTATCTAAAAAAAATATTGTTTGCCTTTTCTAGCATCCTTTGCCGTCTTGTGCGTCCGGTGAATGGGGTCCGATGAAAGCAATTCGCCATTTTAACATTATACCTTTGACACATGTGAATGCCATATTTGAAACAACACACAGTCCCGTTTATATAAAATTTAAATGTCCAAAACAATTAAAATTTCACGGAAAACTAAATTCAAATCAATATGTCAATATAAACGATAGCCATCCCTTGGATAAATATGTTAAATATGAATATGATGAACATGAGTACATCATTACATTTATTATATATTTACCGATCGAAGGACAATATGGCCTCGATGTTTATGCAAGAGATCCTGATTATCAAACAGAAAAACGTACAATGTCACACTGTTGTAAATATATTATTAATTATTCGAAAACAGCAACAACAGCACCAGTATCGTCAAAAACATCCGATCAACAAAATTCGAATAATAATCAATTAATGATGTCTAAATTCGATAATGGGCGTTTATCGCAGTATGAAGAACATCAATTAGCTACAAACAATCAAAATAGTACTAATAATAACAGTAATCAATACAGAATAGTTTCACCAAGAGTGACGAGCTCAACCTCGACATCAATACAATCAAAACTAGAAAGAAATCTATCACCAGGTAAAAATGATAACTAATCATTTTTCATCTTAACACGTCTAAAATATAGATTGAAAATGATTCTCTTTTCTTTATCTAGGACCACAACGGAATAGTGCTGGATCAAATGGTGGTGATATTCATCGGGAAAAACAACAACAACAATCACCACCCATGCCAAAAATTGGTGGTAATCCATCATTGTTACAAGTGCTTGGTATGACTGCTGTGAGTCACATTGACTCTGTAATTGATCTAAACAATACAAATCATATTGATATTCATTTTCAAGTACGTCGTATGATTGATTTTTCATTTGATTTATTTTATCATCAAACATTAAATGATTTATTAAAATCAAAATCATCATCGTCATCAATTATTAATTTAAATCAACGTTTAAATGTATCTGATTATATACAGATAAAACCCAGTGGTTATAACGTTACATTCGCACTTAATCTTCCTAAACCGGGTCTATACACATTTACAATTTATGCTGCGGCAAGCGATGTTAATCTAAATAATAATAATAATAATAAAAAACAACAACAATTATTAACTAAAACAAATGGTGCTAATAACAGTAGTAATAGTATCACTACTGAAATTGATTTACCTCCAGTTTTTACCTATATGATACGCTACGTTGTATGAAAATAATAATTTGTTGTTTTTCACTTTTTATCTCTATATGAATTGTACAGTTTATATGCAGTTATTTTTACATGAGAAGAAAACAGTGCTATTTTTTTTTTTTTTTTGTTCAAATTTTAAGCAAATTTTGCTTTGTGAATTTCTGTTTATTGTATACACGAACAAAATCACATGCTGCTTTTCTGATGCCTTTGAAACATTAACGGATTTATTAACGACTAGCCTCTTATTCTTTGAGTCTTTCCTACATTTTTGTATCTGACACTTTAATGGCGATTGGTGCTTACTATCTCATACATACTTATCGCATTCGGATTTCTGAAGATTTTTTCTTCTCTAGTAATTGTATTTTAGGTTGTTATATCACAAACCGAGAGCAAAAACTCATGTGTTTTCTTTCTCATATGCTATCTACCATCTAATTTTTTTGTTTTTTCACTTTTTATTACTTCTGTATGTCTCTATCTTGCCAAAGCTATCTCTCTCTCGCTCTATTTCTTTTTTTCTCATGACAAAAATTCAAATTCGCTCTTTATAATAGGTGAATACAGCAACTATGCAGCCAGTGTTTTTGTTTTGAATCTAAATCCTAATGAGAGAGCAAAGTAATGTTTTTCTAATTTATTTTTTTTGCCGATATTTTTAAAATGCTCTCGTCTTCGGCTGTTCCTTTGTTTCTTCTTTTTATCTTCAATTTTATTTTAAGTTTTGTTCAATAGCAATACAAAAAGATTATTAAGGAACATTTAATGTATATGTTTCGTTAGACCAAGCGAAATTACAAATTGTATGAATTGTCACTGTTTAGTTTCTTCTCAAAACTATAAATAGTGTGTACGATCAAATTATATATTACTCGGTGAGAACAAAAAATAAATTGAAATGTTGTATAATTTGATTCCTATACTATAATCGTATTTTTTACGGTATGACAATAAGTTTAGTGATACATGAAACGAAACGCAAGAGAAATTTAATTTATGAATTGCATAAAATAGATAGATATTTTATTCGATATAATATATCTCTATAAAAAGTCATAATTGCACATTTCTAACCTTGTTTCAGTTTTTTTGTCGATTATTACGTCATTGATCATACGAAAAAAATGAATTTCAATTAAAAATCTTTTGATGAATTAATCGATCAAAACTGATTAACTTATTCTATTCTTCTATATTTAATATTACTAGGATAAAAATTGAAACTGAGTTGTCCTAGTATCCATCCGTTTTATTCTTGTATACTAAAAATATGTCAAGAGGGAAACTCTATTACTTCAGTTTGCAAACAAAATTTCGTTCTTATCAAAATACTGATTGAAAATCAAAAGGATGAGATTTGTTTTTATGTCGACAGACATTATATGTTTTTGTAGGGATTTTATTTTATTTTTTTTTACAAAATGTGCACGACGTGATCTAGCGAACTATGCTACTCGGAAAACTTCTGAAACCGGGAGGACAATCTCTCGACATTGGAGATTGAGCAATGCACGTTCTTTTTGCAAATACAAGTCAGGATTCGGCGTCATAAGCTACACAAGTAGAATTAAAATGTTTTTTAGACTTAGAAACTTTGTGTGCATTTATAAGAGTTGATTGTCCGACGCCATTTGTTCTTAAGACGAAATATAATTATTTAATTTTGTTCTTTATAAATTAAACAGGAAGACATTTAAATGGTGAGTAGATATTTTTAACTTCAATTTTTTATTGATCTCGCTGTCTCTGTTAATATGACCAGGGTCTGTCAACATCGCTACTTGTGCGCAGCACAATTGCTCTCTAGTGTCTTCTTTTTTTTTTGTTTCGTAGTCACTTGCATTTGTTCAAGCCATCTGACTGAACATTAGCATTAGTAAAGAATCTGAAAAACTATTCATTAAATATAGTTGAAACGATGCTACTACAACTTTTACTTTCGTTCACACCTAGAAATGCTATTGTTGATACTTTAAATAGAAAGACGAAACAGAAGCCTATTTTATATGAGTATGTATAAATACATTTCTAGACGATTATATATGATATGTGTGAGAGAGAATAACAATTGATAGGTGAGAATTTTGTTTGCTGTTGAATATATTAAATAAGAATTAATAATGATAAGCGTTACTCATATGACCTTCGGTCAATAAATGTATAAATGACTATTGTTGAAAATACAATAATAAGATATTTGATTACATTAAATATTTTGAATCTCGTGTGATATGGCAACTTGTTGTCAAAAATATTTAAACATGTCTGCCAAATTGACGACGTCTGAAACTATATTACAGTGGCGATATATTTTGCCTTAAGCGTTTTCAATATATCGCGTTGAAATTTATCGTTCCGGAAGAAGACGGTAATAGGGGAGTCCATTCTATGTGTGTGTGTATGATTGCGGTTCATCAAACTTTGATCATTAACAATTATTTTTGTTTCAAAACTTTATCTTTCTCTCTCTCTCTCTCTCTCTCTCTCATTTTGGTCAAAGGTAGATAGATATATTTCAATTTTTTTCACAATCTATTCATTTAAATCATTCGTGTGCATGTAGAGATGATAATTGTTAAAAATATCACATACGAACAAAACACTATAAATCCGGATGTATATCACGCTCTCTTTTGTCTAAAGATTTAAAAAACATTTTACTGTGAATCTATTTCAATTATACTATCTAATTAATTTGACAAGTTCAATATTTTAGCTCCGTCTGAGACATGAACTTTCTTGAAAAAGTAAATTTTTACTATTGGCAGTATAGTAAAAAAAAAAATATGAAAACTTTTAAAATAATTTTGAATACTTTAACAACGTTCTACACTAATAAACTTACAGGAGAAAAAAAAATATAGTCAATCAGTACAAAGCAACGTTCTAGGATGATAATGATTCTTGTATAATAATTCTTCAATAATTGTTTGACCTTATAAGCAAATAGTGATCATATATTTAGTATGTATGTATATATATATAATTACTTATAAAATTAATTAATCCAACACATTGACATAAGAACTATATGTTTCGTGTAAAGAAAAATAAGAAATAGATGTCATATAGTTAAATTAGAATGATTGATGATTAGACGGGTATACGTAATTGTAAGAGAAAGAGAAATCCTTTGAGAAAATAGTCTTCTATTATCGTAGGATTGATTTATTTAAATTGAAGTTGATTATTTCTTTCTACATATGTTTTTTCTTCTTCCCTTCTTAATTCTTTAGTTTTTTTTTCTTAGTATAATATATATTAATATCTATCTATCAGTTATTTTAACCTTGGATTTGTTAGATTTAGGGAACAAAAATTACTGGCGTCAATAATAAATTATGGAAATGATCATAAAGATCAAGATGTTTAGAAAGTTCGTTTGGCTTTAGTGATTTTTGATTATTTTGATAGAGAGAGAGAGAGAGACAAGAAGAAAAAATTATCATCCTTCGGGATCATTCTACTTTTGCTTTGAATACATAACTAAAATATTCTAAATAATTTTTTCTTCCTACTCTTCTTCTAATGATAATTGTAGTAGAACGTATGATTTAGAGATCATCTCCTCATCAGATTTTGAATAGGTAAGATAACATTGTAATCATACGTAAGAGAAGATAATCATTCTATACTTAGATTTATACTCATTTTACTTGAAGAAAATTTCTCGGAGAACAACTGACATTTTCACAAAATATAAAATTTTTACTAAATATACTGATAAAATATCTCGAGTCTTCCGTTTATCTAGAACAGAAATTATGGATATTGAAAGTTATGAAAATGACATTCTGTGACATTTGACTAACGAGTTCGTAAGTCGCATGACAACAGTAATGAACATTTAGTTTTAATTGATGCTTGAGAAAATCGTAAATGACCGTTATTTGTTCATTAGAGAGAATCTGACGGCTAGTTTGTAAAAAATAAAAAACGATACATCAACTAAAATTAAAAACTTTTAGCAGCTTTTGAAAAATAATTAAGTTATAACCCATTCAAATTGCTTTGCTCACCATTACATTGGTGTTTTTTGTTAATGCTTTCCTAGAGCTTACACCTGCTTACGTTTTAGTACTTTGAGTCATCTTTCACTATATGTTAAGACAAAGAACAATTTGCAAATACTCTCTTTTCGTAGAGCTGAGAATAACTTTCTTATGAGTTTTTAATAGGAAACTTCTCTCTTTTCTTAAGCATGATATTTTATCTCTTCCAAGTAGTTTATTTTATACTTACAAAAAAAAAAAAAATTAGAACACCTTAGCAACAGAAATTATGATTCTATCATTAGACAAAGACGTTTTTTTTCCTATAGAGAAATTGTTTAATCTATCACATCTGACTGATCGCGCAGTCAGTTCAATTAAATATGTAAATAGTCTTTATAATTGAGCTTATTTAATTGTTCTGACGTCTAAATTCTCTATTGATCTTCTATAGTTCAAGATCTCTACAACAAGATACTATTATTCAAAACTTTATAGATACTAATTGAATAATATACCCTATTCATTGCATAATACTAACTGAATAAAAGAAAGTTCAAAGAAAATTATCTCCATTTCATTTGTGATATTATTCATTATAAAAAAAGAAAGAAAAAAAGACGAGAAAAATCATCATCAACCAATTCAATAGTAGATACTCGATTAACGTAAATGTTTTTTTTGTAATCATCTTTATTGAACTCATTTGAGTATAGACTATCCTTTTTCTTTCTCTAAAGAGAAGTCATGATGTACATAATTACACCATAGTCTATAATAATAGACAACAATACATTTTTCTATTTCTAGAGTAAGATATTCAATTTTCGATTTATATTTAGAATCCTACACAATCAATGATCTTATCTGTAAAAGAAAAGTAACTTAACTTTTCGTTTGAAAAACGGAAGTCAAAATTTTGCAAAAAAACTTAAAACTTAATTTTATGACTACTATTATAAATAATAAAGAAGTATAAGAATATTTCATAAAATAATAGATACAGTTCACCTTCGTATTATCA